AGACAGTTCATCAAGTGAAGAAACGCGTGGCGGCTTTCTGAATTGCTGACTTCCCTCTAGCCCCAGCCGACCACAAGATGGATCGGTCCATCGGTGCAACAAACAGAGAAAGCATTATCATATCCTTTGAGATTTCAGAGCTAGTGGCCTCACAATTATATGAAGCTAGCTGTAGTGACGGGCTGCTAGCTCGTAGTAGAGAACCGAGAAACGCAGCATGCACGATCAAGTATATGTCGAATATCTGGCGGAGCTTATTTTGGCACGCCTGCGTACGTCGTCATAGATGCAGGCAGCCATTGTTGCAGCGATGTTTCGTTCTGGTTCATACATCTGACGAAGATAGATGTATCATGTATGCATATTATTATGTGTACATATATCGAAGTCAAGAAACGAAAACGCCCCATCTTGCTGCATGGCTGTTCCGTTCCTGGCCCACCGCATGTCGTCGACCAGCTCTCTTGTCCTGCAATAATCCTGCTCCGTTTTCCGGAGACAGCTAGCTAGCTCATGCAGGCCAGTGTAGCGTGTGTAATCAATCGCAGCGCATGCTGATCTGGTGCTACAGCTGCCACTCGATCGATATCCATCCGTAACGGAAATGGCTCGCGACCCTTATCCTTTCCTGCACTGCACCTCAGATTACTCCTAGATCGTAGGAGTGTCTCTTGCGTTGCCGGTGCTGCTGGCCGGCTATCTAGTTCAGGAGTGCCCTCACGTGCATATCGGATTTAGAAGTCGTTTAGAACATGATTGTACTTACCAAAGAGTCATTAATTAAGGGGTATTTTCCTCTATCTACCCCTATTAAATACGGCTGCGGGTGCATTCCATACGAAAACAACCACAATTCAAATGGCTAGCGCAGCGAGGCAAGTGTCATGAGGTCCTGGGTTCGATGCCCTGGCGTGGCTCGCACAAATTTTGCACGGATGCATCTACTGGCGGCGAGATTTTTGTGCAGATGTTTTGCTGCGAATTTTGGATCATGGCTTGCTCGTTTGGGCTCCCCGGAGCAAGATTTCTGCTCGTTTGGGCTCTGGCGGCAGATTTTTGCACGGACGCATCTTCCTAGCGGCGTGATTTTTGTGCAGATGCTTGCATGCCGCCAATTTTGGATCTTCGTCTATGCATGCAGCTGCTGCGGCTGATGCTTGCATGCCACGAATTTTGGATTTTGCGCGGCCGTGCGTGCGAGCGAGCAAGCAAGGAGAGAAGCGGAGGGGACCACGGCGTGATTTACTCTGGTAACTAAATAAATGAGCCCGTCAACGAAGGGTCAGGGGTATTCGCGTCCAAAACAAGGTTAGCGAAGGAAAACGACTTCCTTTGCGCAAATGACCCCGGTGCGTAGAAGTAGAACGACTACTTTTTTTTCGGATACGGAGCGAGTACTCTGGTGGCATCGCCGACCGCATGCATGCATCGGGATGCTGTCCCCCCGCCTTGAGTTCAGCGACGAGCAATTAAGAGGCCGAGTAGATTGGGCGACGCGCAGAACGTGCGGAAAAACGTATTGGATGCTGCAGCGATGGTCGACGCGGTCCAGACGGACGGGCGAGCCCTATATAGGAGTCCTTCGACTGCGGCGGCTAAAATTGGGCCGGATACCTACATACCGGACCATTATCTGCTGCAGGCCTGCAGCCCAGCAGAAGCTCCGTCGTTTTGCCGCTTAGGATTTGCGCCGAAGATTTAGTAAGCCATGATTTTTGCTATTGTTTAGTTTGAATCAAAACTTGTCAACCTCTCATATTTAACTTGCTAAATTTATAGTAAATTTTTTACTTAACTTTGGCTTGCCAAATTCTTGGCATGACAAATTTTAACCGCAAACCAATCAAACCCTTACTCGTCCTAGTGAGTGCAGCCAAGGTCTTGAACGCGTGTAGTGGCAGTGGCACCACGCCCTCCAGGGCCGAACTACTCCAACAATGATACAAAGAAGGTGATTCCTTCGGTTGCAATGTCCATTAACCATTATTAACACGTTACCCATACAACACTTTGACTAGCAGAAACCAACGAGGTGGCTCGTGTATATTGTACGGACAGTTGAAGATGCAACCATGGTACAACTAAACCTGTACTCTCCTAGCTCTCTTGTTTCGCTCCATGTCTCATTATGAATCCATATATGAATTCATCTGTGTTTTTTAATCAAAATAGATACTCCACCATCAACAATTATTGCATGCCATGTCTTACTCTTATATTTGGTTAACTCCACGACCTTGATACGTAGAGCCTAGAGTAACATTCTATATATATATTCTCTTGTACCATTCAATGACCTCATGTTTGTTAGAACGTGTTTCGTTAAGAGGGGAAACCATAGTACAAAGCGCTAGGCACCAAGTGTCTAGACGCAAGGAGCGGTGTGGAGCATGGTGCTGCATACATGATGGTACAACTACCAAGAACATGGCTAGCCTAAAATTCTGATACTCGCTACATTGATATACATTTTTGCAACTCGAGCGAGGATCCTAAGCACTCAACAAGCTGAGGAGTGTCGACAGGTCGGAGAAGCCCGTCTTGATCCAAACGTTCCCCTCTGCCACAATAATATCTGTGCAGATTTTGAACCTGTAGCCGTGCACAACCATCAAACACTCTCTGGTTCATCTCCTTCCAAACGATCCAAGAGACGAGCAAGAGCATAGAGTTGAATCCCTTGCGCTATCAGCTGTGGATTCCATTGCGGTGTATCATCCACCAATCTATCAAGGATGCTGCGTCCACTAGCAGCAGCTATTGGAGACTGAGCGGGGATAGCACCATTAAACCTTATGTCATGCTCATCGGTTGGTCACTTCATTGGCATTTCTTGTTGCTGCTAGAGATTGCGATTCCACTAGCAAATATGTCGATCGCTTCGTATATCTTGTTGCCTACTAATGTTGTAGCCTAAAGGTATGGGTGCTTATTATGGAAATGAAACACATGTACCCTCTCATACTCATTGTGGTTCCACCTATATCGATCATAATGTTACTAATTGGGCATATCTTTCTCTCTCATTGCATTCATCTCAGGCATCCTCTAGGACATGCAATCTAAGATCAACTAGCACTTGATACCACTATGGAGCTTGTAATATCCTAAGTGTCAACGCCTTGTCACCCTCACATAGAGTTGTCCCTTCCACTGTTGTGAGGGACAATAGCTTTGACCTTTGACTATCTAGACCGATAAACCATATGCATCTATCAAGAAGAAGGAAGAATAAGTTGCACTGTTTATTTTTCATTAAGCGACCATCCGCCTGATGTCTAGAATATAGAAATGCTTGTATTTTTCTAGAGTACTAATAGATCAATTATTCTTTTGTACTGGAGATTTGTTTATTTTATTTTTCTCACTATTGGAGTAATTTTTTTCTATTTTATCATATTTTATATTATTTTAGTTTCATTTCCAGAAGTAAGGCATATGTTGTTGGCTTCATGTTAGTATTTAATAGTGTCATGGACAAGTTATATCAAAACATGTGTAGCGGAATTTTTGGTTATTTTTTATGTAATGGTGTAATTTACCATCATGTATAGAGGCACTTTGATTTTAGCTTCGATTAATGTGACAATTTGTAAGCTTTGAGAATTATCATTGGATTCAGATACTAAGAAAATGCATTAATAATAATAATAATAATAACAACAACAACAACAACAACAACAACAACAACAACAACAACAACAACAACAACAACAACAACAACAACAACAATTAAATAGAAAGAGTTACGCGTTATGAATGGCAATCTTTGGAAATATCATTGGATTCAGATACTAAGATAATGCATTTATAATAATAATAATAATAATAATAATAATAATAATAATAATAATAATAATAATAATAATAATAATAATAATAATAATAAAATAGAAAGAGTTGCGCATTTTGAATGGCAATCTTTGAGTTGTCAACTTGTTTAAGATTTTATTTATTTATAGTGAATGTGAAAATAGGCATAAGACAAATCTAGATGAATTATGTCACAAATTAGAGGAAATAGATCCACACCATATCTTTTTTTTAAATGTTCTAGCGACGTAGAGAAAACAACTTATGTATCTTTTGCTTATATGACAGAAAGGACATGGAGTGAAATCTGATTATCACTCGCTCTTGTCACAAATCTAAGCAAGAAGGCCCTATGGGGCAGACATCAGATACTCAAGCACATGAAATCTGGCGGTGAACTCTCCATTTCCATCTAGGACCAGGAGAGTAGCACTTAACTTGATGGGTTTCCCGAACTTTATAGATTTATTGTTTTGTTACATACTCAATGCAGAACATTTTGGTCACAGTGTTAAACCTACAGGGGTACCTCGCAAAAAAAAGCAGAGGGCTATGCAGGTAAAAATAGACCATATCTGTCACAGGTTTTAGGAAAATGTATCAAACAATATAGAAATGAAGGGGTAAATGATAGTATCTCAGATTTAATCACAAAAACAAACACAGACATATTTTACGTTCTTTTTTTTAGCAAAAACATATTTTACGTTCTATATACAAGGAGTTTGAAACCAATGCAGCCCGTTTCTTTCATGGGCCTCAAACTCAAATACCCATTCCCTTGGACTAGGGACTAGGCCGAATTTGCTTTGGGCTACCAAATGAGGGATAGCGTCATTTCCTGGCCGTTGTTCCGGCCGGACGAAATCCGAAAACCCGTAAAATACACTGACACTGACAGTCTCGATCCCCGCAGTCATCGCGGGGAATCCGCCAGTCGCCGCCGGCGACTCACTCCCGCAACTCACCTGCTCTCAACCGCGACTTCGGCGCCCTACACGGCTTCCAAGTCGCAGGATGCGGCGGCGGCGGCGCCCACATCCTACGTGGCCGCGTCTCCGCCTCCGCTTCCGCCGCGCCGACGTGTCAGCTTCCCGTCCACTCCCCATTCGTCCTATTACTTGCTCCGCCGGCAACTATTCGCCCCTCCCCACTAAATCCGCGGCCGTTTCCTCTCGAGCGTGGTCATGGCGGCGCAGGGATCCCTCGTCATGTGGAGGGCGGTCTTCGCGGCGCTGGGCGTGCTCATGGTGGCCACGCTGGTGTACACCTCGGCCACCGACGGCTCGCCGTTCCGCCCCGAGCTGCTTACGCCGTAAGTACTGCCCATGTGCTCGCTTGCGGATTGGTAGGAAGCTATTGCGATTTTGTGGAAATGGGTATTGGAGAGGGTTGTGGATTGTGGAACTTGTCTGTCCGTTGATCATTTCAAAGCAACAACGAGCCACAGAGCCACTCTTACAGTCCTATTACCTTACGTTCTCTGGTGGTAAGCAGTAAGCTGCATATTTAAGTGGCGTTCTCATTTTGAAATGCTAAGGAGACGTGATGAACTGGTGATGGTGTAGGTCTTGCAAGGCCGTCTATGTTGTGTTCTGAAGTTCAGTTTATTAATTAACCTTAGTTTTATGTATATACTATGCAATGAGTGTTTTATAGTCCCATCAGTCTGTTTATCTTGCAAAGTTGCAAGGTGCTGTTGGTGTTTTACCAATATGTTATCGTAGAAACATAGTCTTGCTCATTGGTGCAAATTGTGTTGGTTGTTTTGCTATACGCAATGAAGTTTGTTCTTGAGAGATTGATACATTCATAACAACCAAACTATGTGTTGCTTCAGAGCAGGCATTTCATAGCTCTTCCTCATGCTTACATGTATGCAAAATACATTCATTTAAAATTGTAATTCTTTGCTGTGTGTAGGTGGATGGTGGCAACACTGATTGATTTTTATGTGAATGTAATTGCAATCTCGGTAATGCCTTGATTTTTATGACTGATTCTTAAGCAGACACTTTTTTTTACAATGGTTTTCACCGAAAACTTGTTAAGTTACCATCTTTATGAGGATGATTTTGCTGGTAGGGCTTTTTTTGATAATCCTTGGTAGGTAACAAGAGACACTGTCAAATTATTACTTGGGCCTTGGGGAGGTGCCTTGGTACTTCTGGAAGTACAATCTGATGGTACCTCCTAGGGTTGGAAAAATGACTCCTTGTGGAAAGTGAAGCAAAGCAGCTACTAGTCTATTCATTTTGAGCTATACCATTGACAATATATTTGACATAAGGTGGAATAATAGATTATGGAGCTATCAGTCTTATGACTTACTGTTTCGAATAGAATGTTTGAACTCTATGCTTTATGCATTATCAAGTTCACATGATTTTTGTAGCATACTTGTATTTAAACTATTTTTTCTACCAGTTATTTGGCATTTCCCCTTTATCCGTATGACATGATTAACTAATAGAATGTTTAATTTGAGGGATCAACCTATCTACGATCATGTGGTCATCCCATGAATTTTGGTGGGATCTACCCATTCCTCACCATTTTACTGATCATTTGCTTTTGACAGATGAGGTGGTGATGGTTTTTGACCCATTCCACTCCTCAAATTAAACAACAATGTTAGGTTCGGAGTTAGATTGGATGATCCATCACCATCCTACTACTCAAACCAAATACATGCCTAACTTGCATTAGTTCATTTTGGTTCAGGTCATCGTGAACTCATGATTGCACGTTGGTTGCATACTTGCATCTCAGAAATGAGTGTCCAAATAATAAGGAATTCTCTTTTGTGCCATTATCTGTCTTAGCTATATTATCCTTTGTCAGTTTGTGTATTAGAGTTATTAGCTGAAACTTTCTATTTTGAGTTTTGCAGATACCTGAACCCCAGTTCTGACCTTTGTGCATACTGACTAGAAAGTTATCATGCAAATCATTTTTTCTGTCATATCCCAAGTGAATCTTATCCTCTGATTAGCTTGAATAATTCCTGAAGAGTAAATGCTCCTGTTAAACTTGGCCAAATAGGTCTGGGGATTGAGCCTTAGAATGTTGAATAATTTAATTCTTACCTATTTACAAGATCTTATTATTTTTGGTACATTTATGGAGATCCAATTTCATTTCTAACTTGACTTAAGTTAGAGATGCTTCTTGTGTGGTGTTTCAGGCTTGGGTTATCTACAAGGAAGCAAACTGGATTAGTTCTGCTGTGTGGGTGGTTCTGTTGTGTTGCTTTGGCAGGTATTGGACTCCTTATCTTTAATATTCTATATCTCTTAGTTTTGTAGCTTCTTTTTGTGCTTCTATACTTCTCTTTGACTGGATGAGTCTTATTGACTTGATGGTATCCACATTTTTTTTATTCTTTTATCTTTTCAGTGCTGCTACTTGCGCTTATATTGTTAAGAAACTTTTTGATGTAACATCTGCGGGGTCATCCCAAGATCCACTTGATCTTCTGTTTATCAGGTAGAGTGCCAAAATCTTCGCGACTAGTTCTTTAGATTTCTATACCTTTGGCTACTTAACCAGCATACTTAAAGCCCCAGGTTAGTTGCATTCTAGAATCTAGATGTTATCCAATATACTGAAGCCGCAAATTTCATTCCACCAAATTCCTTTCTGCTACTCTGCATATTGTAGCCTCACATGCTGACCTTGTTGATCAAATGAGATATCCAATAAAATTAAGTTGATACTAGTTTGTCTTGACATGTATTCTTGAAACATTTTCAGGCAAGGTAATCTATCCCAAAGAAAGTGCTCTTTTATTGTAATTGGAAGGGTTATTTTCAGCATTTTGGGAATATTCATGGCTGCGGTTGTCGCATATACTGTCATCAATGATGGACTACCTTTTAGGAAGGAATTGTTGACACCGTAAGTGAATACAGTTCATACTTTGTTGCTTTGCTGATTTCTGAAGCCCATTGAGCTCAATGTAACTGATGCAAGTGTGAAAAGAGTAAGTAAATGCAAGATTGCAGCATCCCAAGAACAATAACCGCACAGTTCTAGGTTGTTTTAACTTTCCAAATATGGAGTAAATGTGACATATGGGAATCGTGCTATACACTGAAGTTATAGTCAAGATTTTTTAATTGCTAAACTTTTATATCGATTTATTTTTTATGAAACTGTAGGATTTCAGAACGGTAAACAAAAAACTGCATGTCCTAGTTAAGTTTCGCAGATCCCTCAAAAAAAGGTTAAGTTTCACAGATATTTTCCAGTTAACTTGGTCTACGCACCCTCCCCAACACCCCCCCCCCCGGAAAAAAAATGTAACCCATTGAATCTTGTTAAATACTAGTGTGTAATCTGACCAGGAGGTACCATTTCCCAATGTATTAATACTAGGCCTTGTTTAGTTGGCGATTTTTTTTGGGAAAGGGCACTGTAGCACTTTCGTTGTTATTTGGCAATTAGTGTCCAATCATAGTCTAATTAGGCTTAAAAGATTCGTCTCGTGAATTTCGTCTAAACTGTGTAATTAGTTTTATTTTTTATTTATATTTAATGCTTCATGCATGCGTCCAAAGATTCGATGTGACGGGGAATCTTGAAAAATTTTACAAAATTTTGGGAACTAAACAGGCACCTAGTGTGTAATCTGACTAGGAGGTACCATGTCCCAATGTATCGACATGTGAGCTTCAGTCTCTCCCACACTGCTACTCAACCTTGGCCTCATTCACTCCTTCCTGCCCTTTCCTGCTGCAGCAGTTGCAAGCCATGGCGATAGGTTGTGGGCTTGTGGCAACCTAGATGACTATGGTGGTTTCTTCACGAGAGAGTGCTGGTGTCATGTGGGGCTGCACCTACAGCTGCCGGAACAAGAGGGCAGCATAATCTTAGATTGATTAGTGATTGGTTGAGAAAAGGAAGGTGATCGGTTTAGTCAATTGATTAGTTAGATTGGGAGAAAAGTTAGGAGAACTGGTTGGCTTGTTTGCCTATGTAATCCCGGACGTTGTACTCTAGAAATCTAGCAATGAAACAATCTTCCTCCTATCCTCTCTCTACCTCTCAGGGCCAACATAGATTGGGAGCGACGAGGCAAGGAGCCTCAGCAGCCGGCTGATCACTGATGGGATAAGTCTCTGTTGGCAGTCTTTGTGGGGCTGACTGCAGCTGGTCTTTGTGGGGCTGTCTGCAGCAGCATCTTAGCTAGGACAGCATCTTAGAACAACATCTTAGAGGACAGCATATTAGGACAGCATATTAACATCTTAGACTAGCATCTTGGCATATGCTTGGCTGGCTAGCAGCCTATAAATATGTATCTCCAACCCCTCAGGTTGGCATGGCATTGAGAAATAAACCAGAAAATTGTCCCAACTCCTAGTGTCATCCTCTCTCGATGAGCAAGAATTTTGCTACTACCAAGAGTGAGAATTCAGCGACTAACAACTGGTATCGAGAGTCAGTATTATCCTCAGAGTTGAGCATCTCCTCGCTCATCTTCTTTCCCAACCTCGCAATGCATTTCACTAGGAGCAAGCAGAAGCGGCATGCCGCCGCTCACTCCTCCTCCTCCTCTCTCAGCAGACGAGCGGGAAAGCCCTCTCCCCACGCAGCAGAAATTTCCCGCAGCGCGGCATGTCCGCAGGGCGATCTCGGCCTTCATCGCCTCGAAACACGCAGGCGTCGGCGAGGCCGAACTTGCCGCGGCAGAGAACGCGAACGCGAAGCGGCGGCGGAGACGACCAGCGGCGGCAGCAAGCAAGGCGGCCGAGGTCGGGTAACGACGAGCTAGCTAGCAGCAGCAGAGCGGAGGCCGGGCAAATGCGGCGGCGATGCAGCAGGCGGCGGCGGCGGAGGTCGAGGCTCACACATGACAAAGATTGGCGGCTCCATTTCACGACGACACCGCCGACGCGCGACCTCGAGCCGCTAGAGAGGAGGCGGCGGCGAAGCGCGCGCGCGCGCGGCGAGCAGTACGCCCACGAAGCGTGGCGGCAACCAGACAGCGCGGACGCGCAACGGCGGCGCGCTCTGGAGGAGGCGCGCGCACGCGGGTGGCGCTCTCTGGGCAGCCACGCGACGCCACGAAGCGTGGCAGAGCAGCGAATAGCGCGGACGCGATCGGGCGCTCTCGAGGAGGCGCGCGCGCAACGGTAGCGGACAGACGTCGATGGAGAGCGCGACCTTCACGCAGCGGCGTGGCTTTCTCCCCGGATCGGTACCATGGTTACCACGGTTTCCAGGCTGTTGCTAGGGATGTCGGCCCCGGCGGTGGGTGGCCTACCCTCACCAAGACCAACTACGTCGAGTGGGCTGCGGTGATGAGGGTAAAGCTCTAGGTGCGGCACATGTGGGAGGCAGTCCGATACGGCGACGTCGACTACGACCTAGATCGACGGGCGCCGATGCCCTCATCGCTGCGATCTGCGCCCGAGATGCGCTTCTCTACCAACAAGCGGATCGCTAAGGAGGCTTTGGACGCCATCGTCATGCAAGACGCGACGGCGGCGACCGATCGCGCCAAGAAGTCCACACCGCAGCACTTCGCAGGAGTGGGAGAACACGCCTTCAAGCCGTGTGAGGACGTTGATGACTTTGCTCTCCGCCTCAACACTTTGTTGCAGAAGATGGTGCAGTTCGGCGATGACACCTACGGCGAGGAGAGAGCTGTCGAAAAGCTCTTCCGCTGCGTCCTCGAGAAGTACAAGCAGATGGCTCGCTCGATCGAGTCTCTGCTGAATCTTTCCACGATGTCGATCGAGGAGGCGATAGGTCGCCTCAAGGTCGTCGACAGCGATGAGCCACAGGCTCTCTCGGGGCCCATCACCACTGGCTTGCCAGCCAAGGTGACCGGAAGAAGGGGGAGCTTTCTTCCGCGACTGCGACAGGCGGCCGCAAGCGTGGCAAGGCGCGCAGAGACGACTAGGCCGGGGCGCGAGGACGTGCCGAGGGTGATGCCCGCGGAGGCGCCCAGGGCGGCGCCGCCGGCAGACACAAGCCGGCATGAGACGACGCCTGCCGCAACTGCGGCCAGCTTGGCCATTGGGCCAAGGACTGTCGACAGCCACGACACGGCCAGGCCCACGTCACACAGGCGGAGGAGGAGGAGCCGGCTCTATTCATGGCACACGCAAACATCGAGCTACCTCCAGCGGCACCGGCCGCAGCGGCTCTCCTCCACCTTGACGAGCCAAAAGCACATGCCCTCCTTGGCGACAGCTCCGGCAACGACAAGACTGACGGGTGGTGCCTCGACACCGGCGCCACCCATCACATGACCGGTTGACGGGAGTTCTTCATCGAGCTTGATTCTAGCGTCCGAGGCTCCGTCAAGTTTGGGGATGCCTCTGGCGTGGAGATCAAGGGCGTCAGCTCCATCATCTTCACCGCCGTGTCTGGTGAGCACAGGCTGCTCACCGGAGTCTATTACATCCCCGCGTTGAGGAACTCTATCATCAGCTCGGGACAGCTGGATGAGAATGGTTCACGCGTGGTGGTTGAGGATGGAGTCATGAGGATTTGGGATCGCCGTCGTCGCCTTCTTGCCAAGGTAACTAGAAGCGCAAATCGACTCTACGTCCTCAACGTGCAGGTGGCACAACCCCTTTGTCTCGCTGCTCGTCGGGACGACGAGGCGTGGCAGTGGCACGAGCGTTTCGGGCACCTTCACTTCGAGGCCCTGAAGCGGCTCAGTGCCACGGAGATGGTGCGAGGCCTGCCGTGCGTCGACCATGTGAAGTAGCTCTGCGACGTCTGCATGTTGACGAAGCAGAGGCGACTCCCCTTTCTCCAGCGGGCAAGCTTTCGAGCCAAGGAGAGGCTCGAGCTTGTGCACGGGGACTTGTGTGGCCCGGTGACACCGGCCACACCGGGAGGACGACGCTACTTTCTGCTGCTCGTCAACGACCTCTCCCGCTACATGTGGGTGATGGTCCTCGGCAGCAAGGGAGAGGCTGTGGATGCCATCAGGCGCGCGCAGGCTGCTGCGGAGGCGGAGTGCGGCCGCAAGCTGCGTGTGCTGCGCACCGACAATGGCGGCGAATTCACGGCGTCTGAATTCGCGTCGTACTACGCTGATAAGGGCATTCAGCGCCACTACTCCGCGCTGTACAGCCTGCAGTAGAATGGCGTTGTCGAGCGGCGCAACCAGACGGTTGTGGGGATGGCTCGGGCCCTTCTCAAGCAGAGGGGGATGCCGGCTGTCTTCTGGGGAGAGGCGGTGGTGACGGCTGTCTACATCCTCAACCGCTCGCCTACCAAGGCGCTCGACGGCAGGACGCCGTACGAGGCTTGGCATGGGCGCAAGCCGGCGGTCTCTCACTTGCGGGTCTTCGGCTGCCTCGCGTTTACCAAGGAGCTTGGCCACATCAGCAAGCTCGACGACAGGAGCACTCCGGGAGTGTTCATCGGCTACGTGGAGGGCTCGAAGGCCTACCGCATCCTCGACCCGAAGACACAGCGTGTGCGCACGGCGCGCGTCGTTGTGTTCAACGAAGGGCGAGGATGGGCGTGGGACAAGGCGGTGGACGACGGCTCGGCTCCGACGTACGACGACTTCACTCGTTCGAAAGTACGTCCCACTTCGAGGAGCTGGGGAGTAGGTAGCTCTTTCTTCGACGAAGCGCGTCTACCCCATCCCCCGAGCCTCCACCGACCCCGGCGCTGCTACATCCGACAACACCACGCTTTCACCAGGACCTCGGTGCGATGAGTTCTTCGCCGCCCCCCCGCCGCAATGGCAACGCCACGCACTCCAGCACCGACAAGCACCACTCCGGGCACGTCTACTCCACCACCAGCTCGTGTCGAGCACAACCCGGTTGAGCTCGCTACTCCGCTCTCTCACGACGAAGAGCGCATCGACGCGTACCACGACGACGAGCCGTTGCGGTACCGTACGCTAGAGAACCTCCTCGACGACCAGCCGGTGCCGGGACCGGTGCCTCACGACCTGGAGGCGCAATTGCACCTTGCGTGTGACGACGGCGAGCCTCGGTCGTTTGCAGAGGCCGAGAGACACGCGGCATGGCGGCGCCCGCGATGCGATTGGAGATGGATGTGGTTGAGAACAACCGCGACTGGGGCTTGGTTGACCTTGTGTGGTCACCGCGCGATCGCCCTTAAGTGGGTGTACAAGCTGAAGAGGGATGAAGCCGGCGCCATCGTCAAGCACAAGACTCGCTTGGTGGCAC